TATTGCTAACTTGGTAGAATTTTGTTTCAATGGGTTTAACGGGAGTGAAGAGTTAAGAGTTTGACACCACTTGCATGAGACAACATCTTGTAGAAAGTATTTCCAATGGAATCTTTACCAAATTTCCTAGGCATAGGCAAAAGAAGACTTCTTTATCATTTGATATTTTTATTGATTGCGAAGCAGATGGGTGTCACATTTCAAATGTATTTGGTGATATGGTTTCTTGTGATGCTGGCTGTGACAGATGGTTTCATAATAGATGTGTAAGTGATCTGTCAGATTTACATTTTTCTAGGGATAGTTTTATTATGAAGTGTGGTAAGCGTTCATAAAACAGCAATAAAAGTCAGAAGTATATAGATCAGGTTAAAATAATGCAGTTTAGTTAGTTAGGTTAGCCAGCATTGTACAGCTAATTTTTAATTTAATAAATACATTTATAATTTTTCTATTCAACTTGATACTTTTTGTATTTTTTTGTATTTTGTATTTTGTATGAAAAAGAACACAATCATTTCAATCATAAAATCATTTCTTTAAGTTATTATAAAGATACCCATTTTTTCTAATGATAACCAATCATAATGATGATCATGAATTCTTATTTTGTGAACTATTATTTATCTTATATATATATATAGTTTTGAAAAAATATGGGCTCTTATGTAGAACTGCGTCTGCGTCGCAAAGCCTGCATGGTAACATTCTAATAGAATGGCTAAGAGTTCTACTTGATAACGACAGCTTGACAGAGTTATGTCCCCTTAGTACGGGTACAGGAGTAAACAAAACACCCGCCATCACAACAAAGTCAGAATATCATGTGAAATATGTTGTTTATTTCAACGAAACTTACATAATTATAAACAGTATGGTATTTTCTTCTATATATCAGAAAATAACATGTTAATTTTCGCTAAATTTCTAATTATATGTGAAAAAACGTGATTTTCACGGTTGACTGCATAGTACAAGTTTTACCTCTTGAAATACACATTATCGCCGATTTCTAAATTATTGGATAATAAATAAACATTATTTTAACTGTCACATTTAGAAAATAATGTTTGAAATTATTCTATATTTTTATAAAAAATATAAACGATCGCGTTAATGAGATATTAAAATATCTTTATATTCCCGTACGGGGTTTCAGTCCGGGTCCGGGAACGGGGTACAAGATTTACCTACCACCCTTTCAAACGCGCATCAGCTTGAGATTAGGTCCTGTTTACAAAATGGCGACTGGAAGTAGCAAGGCGGATAAGATTGGAATTTAAATTGCGTATATTTCGGCAAGTAAACATTGTTCACAAAGCCCATGTGGTCTGTTCATCTAATTAAGTCAAGATGTACTCAGAACAGTCGTTGTTTAGTCGCTAGGGTCATTCACAAAATAATTAGTATTATTATATAAACTTATTGTAATAGACGAATCAAAACTTCGCTAAATGACGAAGTAACCGGCCCCACGAAAAAAATTCCGGTTAAAAATCGTAGCCTCATCCTGGGCGCGATGTAAACATTCCGATGTCAGTATTGTTGTCGTATTTCCTGGCTGTTTGTTTATGTTTTATAGAACATTTTTATATGAATCTTATAATTTTATACTCATCTATGTATTTACCATGGATCCAGGCGACCAATCTTTATCTTTAGATGAAGTTAAAACATGGAAAATTGAAGCTTTGAAGCAATTCTTGTCCGACCGTCGACTTGCTACGAAGGGGACAAAAGATGAGTTAAGTGCACTATGTAACGCCGTGCAGAAAATGAACATCGGCAAAGGTTTAAAATCTTGTGAACTGTCAGAGCAAACTAAGAGAGATTATAGTAAACTTTTGAACATAGGTGATATTACTATTATTAAAGATCCATTGCTTATATCAGATGGCTGGCTCGATGAAAAGAGTGGTATTTCTATGTGGCCCCAGTATTTTGCCCAGATATCGTGATTTTTTTTATGTCAGCAGCTGATCCAGCTTCAACACAAAAATATTTGAACGAATATTAATTGGGAAAAGCCTACCAGTATTTCTCGTCAAACTGGCTCAAAGAAGTGTTCTTCACAGCTGTTGGAAATGGCTTATGTGTGTTGCGTTCGAAGTGTACTCCATCACATAATGCTGAGCACAATGTGTGGGTGTGCGCAGATGAAGAAAAAGGAGAGGTCAAAGGAGCATACTGTTTGTGCACAGCTGGGTAAGTTAAACGTCTGTAGTCATCAACGTAAGCTTGATTTGCATTGTATAAATAGATTTATCTGAGATTAATCTGTAAATGTACAGACGATGGTATAGATAACAAATTCATGCAAATGTACATGATTTTATGGTATCATTTTATCATATATATACATTTTTGGCGAAAAGAGAAACAAACACAGTTTCCATGTGATACAGTATCTGACATGCAGGTGCATGCTTATGCCAGGTACCATGTATACCAATTAACTTTATTTAAATTCAAATAAAAATATATAACTTCATAAAATCTAAACAACCATTAAACAGTATTTACAATGAGACAGATTTCACACTTCAACATAAAATTTCATTTACATGTAGTGTATGGTACATGTATGTAGAATTCACAATGCAAATACCCCTACTTTCTCTTCTATATATATATAGACTAGGACAGACATGCAACCATATAGCTGGTGTGCTATTCCGAGTGGAAGCTGCCAATAAGCTTGGTATAACAGCATGTACTTCAGTGCCATGCAGTTGGACTATACCCAATGCTTCAAAGTCTGTTCCCAAGCCAAAGAGAGTTCAAGACATGCTGATAAAGAAAACCAAGCACGGACAGATAGGTAAGAAATTATTAAATGATATAAAGACAAATAAAAGCATAGAATATATACATAACATGAACATAATTGGGTAAATTGTCCCCCCCCCCCACACACAAAAAAAAATCCCAATGAGGAATAGATATTATGTATCCGATATCAAAGAAATATATGCTTAAACATTGCTTAGAAAATAACATTTTGTCTAACCTCAAAAGGTATTTGGATATTGGTCTATATATGGAATAAAGTAGTGATTGTACTACCTAGTACATGTACAATACTTCTATACAATGTTGTGTTGTAGGAAAGGCCAGGCCATTGGTATCCAACCCCAAGGCCAAGTATACACCAATTGCTATAGGGAACCATACTGAAAGACTCGCATCTGTTCTTAGAGAAGTCGTTCCAAATGCATGCCTCTTTAAAGGTACTTGTTGATTGCCTGACCAAAACCAAAGTCACATTCAATCGTTTGAGCTCAATATCTGATATAAATTCTCCTTATAACTTTGAATGAATCATTACTTGAGCCAATTCTTTAAAAAGAAAGGCACATTAGAGACTTGTATTAATATATTTTAAAGGTATATGTAATAATTATAAGGGAAGCTATTATTATTACTTTAGTTCATCATGTTTCAAAATTGATCTTATTTGTTAATATTATAGAAATAATGGAGTAAAATACAGTATCACAGGTACTTTCTTAAGAAATACTTTGTAATGTTCATCAAATCCAAATTAAAATGAAGTATTTAAAATTTAATTTTGAATGTTGAATTATACATCAGATTTTTTTTAAATATAATACAATTGTTAAAGCAAATTAGAATATTGTTTTCAATTCGATCATGTATACTTATACGTGTACATTGAAAAACATCATTTGGTTTTATTCCAGGCCTAGATTTTCCAAGTGCATCTGCTGATGAGACGTGTGTACCTACAGCACTGTTTGACATCAACCGATACACAATGAATTATATTGTTGAAGAGTACAACCGATACACAATGAATTATATTGTTGAAGAGTACAAGAGTTGCAATAACCTGGCGATGGACTTAGATGTTGAGAAGTTTCTTGACAGCCTACCAAAACCATCACAAGAGGAAATTCAGAGTATCCAGGAACAAACAAAGGATCAATCAGGTAGTCCTGAGTGGACAGCTTTAAGGAAAGGCCGCATCACAGCATCATGTTTTTATCCTGTCTACACAAGGACAGATGGGCTATACTAGTACTACAGATTGTTTAAAAAATGTAAAGTCTTTGAAATATGGTCTAGATACAGAACCAAAAGCAAAACAAATCTTTTCAAAATTATACAAATACCAACACCAGGATGTAAAAATATCAGAGTGCGGCTTGTTCATTGATAAAAAAAATCCTTTTTAGCAGCTTCACCTGATTTGTTAGTCGCATGTTCATGCTGTGGTGATGGTTTAGCTGAAATAAAATGCCCACTTGTTGTAAAATGTGACAAATGTTTAGATTTTTGCAAATGCTCCGTACCAAGCTACCTGAAAACTGGAGAAAACTCACATTTGTCATTAAATACATATTCTATGTATAATGCCCAAGTGCAGGAACAGTTAGCAATAACTGGTAGAGCTTGGTATGCTGACTTCTATAGTGTTATATTGAAGAATCTTGTTGATTTTTTCAAATTGTATGTTGTACCAGAATTGTTTACCCAGTCACTAGAAAGAAAGAAGACAACCCTAGCTGTTATGTGCATGCCAATCCCAATGGATGTAGATACAGTGTCTCCACAATTTTCATGTTTCTGTCCTGTATGTAAAGGTGTCATAAAAGAAGGTGAGAATGTCCAAAATCTGAAGGACAGGAGTGTTATGTGTGAGGGTTGTCAGAGTTGGTATCATTTTAAATGTGCTAAACAAACACAAGCATCACTGGCAAAGGTGAAGATGTGGTATTGTACAGCATGCATGTAAATGCTACATCCATACATATACAATGCATGTTGAATTGATTGATATAAACATATATGCACAGTGCTTCACTTCTATCTTTCATTTTTTGAGAAAGTAATTGTACTAAATCAATATATGATATCAATCTAATACCAATGTTATCTTTCTCAACTTGTTATAACATAATTGTGACAATTAGTCATGACACCTGTAAAATATTACCAAACATAAGTGAACAATATTTACATTTAGTTACTTGAATTTGAATGGATGATACAAAGACATATATGTATTATGTATATTGTCCATACAGTATTTGTATATAGCCAAATCTGTCTATAAATATTAATTGATTAAAGTGTGTAAATGCAGAGCTGCACATTTCTCCAGGTAGAATATAATGAGATTAAACTGTCTGTGAGAGATTTCTTATTTTACTATTTGTACCTAGGAAGAGGTGGATACAAATTACATATACCAGCAGCAATGAGGCAGATGTCATCTAAGTGGTGGACAAGCGTAAGTGGCAATTCATACTTGAGAATACGAAAACTTTTAAGTCTTCGTATTGCCTGCTCCACATAGATTCTTCTGTTAGCAATTTGCTTTGTAGTTTGCACGTCAGATGTGGTCATCTGGGACACACCTCTTCTACCTGGAGGAACGAGTAGCTCTACATTAAAAAGGGCAAGATCCTCTCTTATTGGGAATCCCCTATCTGCCATGACTACATCATAAGGTTGAATAATTTCAAGAAATCCTGAGTTCAATGTTACATGTTTGTCACTTGCTCGGCCACCCCATGATTTTGAAATAAAATTGATCATTCCTGCAGGTGTGATACTCAGCAAAATTTTTGCTGTATGATGGTGTTTATAGTCACTCCAGGTGACACTCTGAAGCTCAAAGCTTGAAGGTTTTTCCAGGAACACTTCAGTGCAGTCAATTATATGTCGAACTCTCTTATATTTTGGATTTTTGAAAGATGGGGGTAGGTTAGCCTGTACAATATCTGGTTTTGGGTTGATAACTAAACTTCCAAGAACTTGGGATAGCACACGGATCCAGGTTGTAATAACATGAGAAACATGGGTTGTTGAGACACCAAATCTGTCAGCCAAGTCCACATTTAATAGACCAAGTCTGATTTTCATCAAGGTCATGACAATTTCCTCTTTGGTGGTAAGAATTCGGCGCTTGTATTTCTTGGCCTGTTTACGAAGGGGGTTACAAACACGACTTGGTCCCTTCCAATACTGTATGTTTTTGACATATGTGGTGATGTATGTAAAAATAGCCAAAAATGCAGCAATAGTTGGGAAGCCAGTATAAAATTTTGTCTGCTTGTTTGATCTTAGAATTTTGTCCACACTGAAAGGTTTTTTACACTTTTGATAGAGGACCTCTTTTAATTTCAAATTTTCTGATTCTAATGTCCTGTTTTTTTGTTGGAGTTTACAAATATGAGCAGACTTGTCTGTGCATCCTTGACATTTTTCAATACATGTATAATCATGATCAGACAGGAAATCATTAGCAACCTTTAGATTATCTAAATTCTCGGGTTCTGCTCCAGCTGCTGGAGCATATTGCTCAGCTAATCCTGTTGTAGCACTTGATAAAATGTCAACCGATTTTAATTTCTTTTTAGGTGTACATGTTGGTTCAAAACTAAAAGGGCTTTCCTTTGGTGGAATTCGAGCTTTTATCTCGCTGACTTGTTGATAGCCAAGTTTCAGAGACGGATAAGGATTCTTAGTTGTTGGTTCACCATCAATAAAATGTTCGGAACATATCCTGGAATCCTCCTTTGGTTGCCAAATTTTACTTCCACATTTCCTTTGAACAACTCTAGCCCATATTAATCTGCTAGAAAGATCTTTCTTGGCTGTAGGGAATGGAAATAGTTTGAAAGGTTGCTGACAAATACAACATTTCTTTTTACATTGGTGCTCCACACAAAATTCCTTATTCCATTGTTTCAGTTTGTAACCATTGTTTTTACATGCAGAAATTGCACAAACTCTGTAAGACATGTCTCATTTTTCAAATATGAATTAACTCAAATTAAAATCAACAATCAACTTGCAGGGGATTCATACCCATCTTGAAGAATTCTGTAAAAGATGTCTCTTAATGTATTCTTATGCCATCCACAGTTGACCATACAGTTATTGATATATATATATATATGTACACGGCTTCAATTATGCAAAAAAACAGTTTTTTATATGTTTTCATTGTTAAATATTTATAAGTGGTCATGACTGAACCGTATCAGAGATAAAACTCTTAATAGTACTGTGTAGTACTGAATGTTTTTGACATTGAATTTAGTTGGCAATTGCAGCGAATGGCTGTTAAATACCATGCCATTTTGAATTTAAATTTAAATTGATACTCAATGCATTGACCTGATTATACATATATATTATATATATACAAGTAATATATATTTGGCTTTTGATTTTATGATTAGGCAGTTGAAAATATTTGTGTTTCCTAAGCAACACCAATCTCAACTTACCAAAAAAAATAATCATAGGAAACACTAATTTTTCCAACTCAAACTTGTATGAAATCAAAAGTTGAAAATGAAATGTTTCATTAAAAGTCTTAAATAGCACATAGTACCAAATGCAATATTACACAGGCATGTGCTTATTAATAGTTTGTTCAAAAAATATGTGAAAGTAGGACTCCATAAATAATTTAAAACACTATCACACGTAAAATTATCCCAGGAATTGTGAGCTGTATGATACATGTTGAGTTTTTTTATTTATTTGTTTTTTATCAGAGTGATAAATTAATGAGTTTGTTTAGACTATTCCTACAAAAACCCAGGCCTTTAATAATGAATGCCTGAAATTAAACCTGTTTGGCCTATTTTACATAATACCTGTACTGTATATATATATATATAATTATTACAAGAACTTGAAGAAGCAAATTGTCATTGTGCACGTGGTAGTTTAAGATTTAAAAGTATGTTATATTGTGTGGCCGGGTTCAATTGTACCACGGAATTAGATTATCTACGTCCGTGATTGTACATGGCAACACCAATCTCAACACCAATCTCCAATCTCAACCCCAACCTCAACTTATTATGTACAATTGAGCCCTGCCACACATATGAATACAGTATGCATGGCATATTAGTATGATGAAGAAAAATATACTGCCATAAAATCTGTATTGTATATTTATTTGCATTATGTTATACTGAACATTTGCTTATCATGGTTACATATGATTTCCAAGAAGGGACTTGACCCTGTTGGAGATTGTGAATAAATTTAAGATTTGTCAACTTCAGTTATTTGTTGAGTTTATGTATCAAATACGTCAAATTTACATGTCTATAATACACACTGATATGGGTCACAGCAAATATACTGGTTTAGAATGGGTTGCTCACATATGTGTTGTTACCCATGTCACTGTCAGTACAGTCAGTTGGCATTAATAGGCCTAACGTTATGTGTATTTTAGATATTTGTAATGAACCCCTGTCACTGTGATTCACGTACGTACCGTTTCTAGAATCTGTCTTTAGTTTATCAGCGTTTTCAAACACATTCCAAGATACTGACATATCAGCTGTCACACGGTAACGCTGGTATAGTCGTCCTTTTTGTGTTGTTTTCCTGTATTAAAATTGTGCGTGTTGGTATTTTTGTTTAACCAAATTTTCCCGGTTTTTAACCGGGTTTTTTTCGGGGCCGCTTACGTTTTGCAAAAATTCAAGATGGCGACGGCGAAGTGTTGATTCGTCTATTATATGCGAATAGAATAGAATACATACTGACACATCTATAACATGGCTTCAGGTCAGGACACTCCTGTGAATCCCAGCTACTAATTACCACCTTTGACATCACCAGCATGTACGACAGGAAGCTACAAGTGGACACTGCCATCCTAGTTTTCAGTAAGGCCTTCGACAAGGTTCCCCATTCAAAACTCCTGTACAAACTAGAGAATTTCGGTGTGAACCCCGACATACTACAATGGATCAAGGCCTACCTGACATCACAGACCTAACGAGTACTTGTAGACGGCAGCCATTCAACACGAGTGAAGGTAGATTCAGGGGTCCCCCAGGGGACGGTCCTGGGACCTATACTCTTCCTCTGCCACATCAATGACTTGCCCGACTGCGTAACATCTACTGTACGTCTATTCGCTGATGATTGTCTGCTATACCGTCCAATTCGATGCCTCCAAGACCACCTGGACTTCCGAAAAGACCTCAAGTCCTTGGAAGAATGGGCAACGGAATGGGGTATGTTTTTCAACGGGTCGAAATGTTATATCCTGAGAACATCAAGATCCAAGTCGCCTAGTACCTACAACTACCAACTGTCGGGCCAATTACTCAAAGAAGTAGAAGAAAATCCATACATGGGGGTGACCATTCACAACTCCATGAAGTGGGACTCTCATATCCGTATCACAACCAACAAGGCAAATTCCACTCTAGGATTCCTAAGACGAAACCTACGAAAGTGCCCAGCGTCACTGAAACTGACAGCATACAAATTGTTGGTGAGATCCGTCCTGGAATACAGCTGTACGATATGGGACCCTTACCAACAAAACAACATCCACTCGCTGGAAAAGGTACAACGCCGCGCTGCCCGATTTATAACATCAAACTATAGAAGGGACAGCAGTGTAACAGAAATAATGGGCACTCTAAAACTAGCACCACTAAAGGATCGCAGGAGAGACCATCGGCTTGCCCTCTTTTATAAGATCGTGAAGGGGCTAGTTGCCATACCTGTAGATCACATATTGACTCCATCAAACACCCGTACCAGATCAAAAAATAGTGAAAATTACCGACATTTCCAGTGTAATACGGACATATTAAAAAATTCTTTTTTCCTCGAACAACAACAGAGTGGAATAACCTACCAGAAGACCTCGTCAAAATGCAAGAACTTAAAAGCTTTGATCAAGACAGCACTACAAACTGAAACAATATAAACTAAAAGCGCACTCCTCCAACCCTGGAATTTATACTCAAATTTGAGGTCTTCCAGTAATATACAGATACAGATACAGATAATAGCTTTGGCTGGGTATCTCCGTTTTTCTCTGTCATGTGTTGTGCTGTCATTTTCTTATGACCGGTCTGTGGTGCTAGGTGGGTGTTTGGTGCTTCTGTACTGTACGGGGAAAGCCTTGCTAGCTGCCCGCTGTGTTTATACCATCATGTAGTGTTTGTTTACAACTTTCCCGTACATGTCCCAGTAGTAGCCGGGTAGGGGCTGAATAGCTTGTGTCGTCTGTTTATGTATGTTTATATGCTCTTTCTAATAAATGTATTAAATGTTATCCACTATGTGAGTTGTTTGTGACTGAAACCCTGGAACCCCAGGCTCAATGACTTGCTCCTGCTACATAAGTACATGCTTGAGGGATATAGCAGTTTCTGATTCTCGAGTCCAGGTCTATTTCAAAAGGCAAACAAAGCCTGACCAATTCAAAAGGGGAACTAGAAACTTGCTATATCCTGAAATATCATACTTCGAGGTGTTTTATATAACTGATACAGAATGCACATACCTTTTTGTAATAGTAATAATCTGTCGAGAAAGTTAGCCTGTAGGGACGTTTTAGTTTTTTAGACTAACACACAGTTGATAGCCTGGACTAATTCCCTTGACAGTCAGTGAGACCATGCAAGGCATGATATACTTAATTTAACTTATTAATTCATGAGTTAATTTGAGGTACGTAGTATATTAATATAAATTATACCAAGCGTGATTGTGATAGCATTGAATATAGATCATAAAGGGACTGCATGATTGTTACAGTCTGTGTAGTATGAATATAGATAACACCGTTTCAACTCACAGTACTAATAGTAATACCTACATATGATGTTGACGAGAAATGCTGCTGGAAATTGTTTTTCGGAGCAAGAATATTAAATGAGAATCATTTATTAAAATATTAAGATATTAAATCTTCATACTCAACAAATGTATATATTGCTTTAGGATGGGGATCTCAAAAGTTTCTATGTTATGGCCTTGGGACTTAGTCCCTACAGATGGGGGCAGACCCCAAGGCCAATTCTGGTAGCATGATTGTGTTTCTCTCTTAATGTCCAGAAATTATATCATCTGATTAAGGGGTGGGGATCTCAACCATTTCAATGTAATGACCCAAAGTATAAGCTACCAGGGAAGGGACAGACCCAGTGGGCGATCCTGGTAGCATATCTGTATTAGATTTTCACATCCAGCAATTGCATATATGGTTATGCATGGTTGCCAACTCTCACGGCGTGAGACAAAATCTCACGCATTCGTCATGCTGAGACAACTTTACTCACGCATAATCATGTCTCACGCCACGTGAGCCATAAATCTCACGCATTCAAAAATATTCTCCCTCTATCCCACGCGAAGGCATAAATCGGCAATTTTTAGCTTGGGTCGTACAAAGGGGAATAACTCTTATTGCAACATTGTGCTTTGGAAGTGAGCTGACGCGAGGTGTCGCTTTACATCAAGTGGAAACGAATGTAAATATATCGTAAGGTGAGTTGTTTTCACAATCGTCTGCTGGATAACCGAACTACTCGGTAGTGAAGCGGAAATAAAACCTATCAATCAATCAATCAAGTTGTTTTCACTCGTAAACTTAATATTGAACGTATCTATCGCACAGAAAAAGAAAGTTTTACTATTAATATCGTTGTGGTTTAGGAAAGATTGTTTTTAGGTCGGGCCTTCACAAATATTAAGAGAAAACGATTCTTGAATCACGAACAGACAGTCGCTAATGGCTGATGGAAAGTTTTTTTTTGCAGTAAAGTGGCGTATATGATTTAATACACCAGAGACTTGTAGTAATAAACAATTTTAATCTGATGCGATGAAAAAATAACGAGTTTCGGGAAGTGCTTTGGCGTGTTGGATAGACATAGTACATAGGTAGTCAAATACATAATAATGCAACAAATCGGATTGCAAACGTGGTATAAATGCTAAGGTTCTTACTGTTATTTGTTGCTTAGGAGAGTAGCCAGAAGTAATTGTAAAATATTTTTCCACTGTCAAATTATCATATTTTTTTATGTTATGAACTTTTTCATGTTACTATGGAAAAGTTCTTACTTTTAATATGAACTGTTATTTTTTCAACAGGTCATGGAAATACAGAAAAAAAGACTGGTACCTGTTCTAGCCAAGGATGGAATCATTACAAGAAAGGCCTTTTATTATATAATGTGTTGCATTTCTGATGTCAGTTTTTTGTGTGATAGATAAAAATCTTTTATATATCTGCAAAAAATGTTTTGTTTTATTTTCCTACAAAGATCTTCAATTGAAAATATCAACGCAGATGTTATAGTAGTCAGAGAAAGCCAGGATTTGTTCGATACATTTGTAAATGTTATTCAAAACGGCGTTACACAGCGACGCCGTCAAAAGTCTAACACATTGTAAAACCCAGTGGAGGGAGATCTCCCACACTGGACTCCTAAGAGGTTGCATTGGCAACCCTGTTATGGGGTTGGGTTCTCATTGATTGCATTGCTATTTTACCGCGGGACTAAATCACCAAGGGGGCAGTCTCCAGGACCAATATTGGTGACCATGTGTGCTTGTCTCTTGTCACCAACCACATCGTACATGTTATGACCCAGGGGCCAAACCAAAGGCCAGTCTTGGCAGCATATATCTTAACATCCATGCACAGCAATTTTATATGGTTATGGGGCAGATTTCTGCTGTTTCCAAGGTGTGACTATAGGGCAGTAAGTGTTTAGGGATGTGACTAGAACCAAGGGTCGAACCTTATGGTCCGATATCATGATTCTATTTATCTAAAACAAAACACTGGTATCCCACACAGTCATAGAATAAAATTGGTATACACAGTAACACAATAGTCTTATAACCAAGCATGTGAATATACAGTAGTCAACACAATAGTCTTATAACCAAGCATGTGAAAACACAGTAGTCAACACAATAGTCTTATAACCAAGCTTGTGAATATACAGTAGTCAACACAATAGTCTTATAACCAAGCATGTCAATACACAGTAGTCAACACAATAGTCTTATAACCAAGGATTTGTATACACAGTAGTCAACACAATAGTCTGATAACCAAGGATTTGTTTACACAGTAGTCAACACAATAGTCTTATAACCAAGGATTTGTTTACACAGTAGTCAACACAATAGTCTTATAACCAAGGATTTGTTTACACAGTAGTCAACACAATAGTCTGATAACCAAGGATTTGTATACACAGTAGTCAACACAATAGTCTGATACCAAGGATTATACACAGTAACACAATAGTCTTATAACCAAGCATGTGAATATACAGGAGTCAACACAATAGTCTTATAACCAAGCATGTGAATATACAGGAGTCAACACAATAGTCTTATAACCAAGCATGTGAAAACACAGTAGTCAACACAATAGTCTTATAACCAAGCTTGTGAATATACAGTAGTCAACACAATAGTCTTATAACCAAGCATGTGAATATACAGGAGTCAACACAATAGTCTTATAACCAAGCATGTGAATCCACAGTAGTCAACACAATAGTCTTATAACCAAGCATGTGAATCCACAGTAGTCAACACAATAGTCTTATAACCAAGCATGTGAATATACAGTAGTCCTCACAATAGTCTTATAACCAAGCATGTGAATATACAGTAGTCAACACAATAGTCTTATAACCAAGCATGTGAATATACAGTAGTCAACACANAACCAAGGATTTGTTTACACAGTAGTCAACACAATAGTCTGATAACCAAGGATTTGTTTACACAGTAGTCAACACAATAGTCTGATATTAAGCATGTGAATACACAGTAGTCAACACAATAGTCTGATACCAAGCATGTGAATACACAGTAGTCAACACAATAGTCTGATAACCAAGCATGTCAATACACAGTAGTCAACACAATAGTCTTATAACCAAGGATTTGTTTACACCGTACTCAACACAATAGTCTGATAACCAAGGATTTGTATACACAGTAGTCAACACAATAATACCAAGGATTTGTATACACAGTAGTCAACACAATAGTCTGATACCAAGGATTTGTATACACAGTAGTCAACACAATAGTCTGATACCAAGGATTTGTTTACACAGTAGTCAACACAATAGTCTGATAACCAAGCATGTCAATACACAGTAGTCAACACAATAGTCTGATAACCAAGCATGTCAATACACAGTAGTCAACACAATAGTCTTACAACCAAGCATATGAATACACAGTAGTCAACACAATAGTCTTACAACCAAGCATGTGAATACATAGTAGTCAACACGATAGTCTGATAACCAAGGATTTGTATACACAGTAGTCAACAAAATAGTCTTATAATCAAGGATTTGTTTACACAGTAGTCAACACAATAGTCTTATAACCAAGGATTTGTTTACACCGTACTCAACACAATAGTCTGATAACCAAGGATTTGTTTACACACTAGTCAACACAATAGTCTTATAACCAAGGATTTGTTTACACAGTAGTCAACACAATAGTCTGATACCAAGGATTTGTATACACAGTAGTCAACACAAGTCTTATAACCAAGGATTTGTATACACAGTAGTCCTATAATAAACACATACAGTTTTTTTCCTTAGTAGGTTGATGTTAATGATTTACCTGTTCTTGGGTTGACTGTATAAAGCATTCCATGGTTTCAATTGAATTTTCGCCAAATGGGTGGATATGAAATAGATATAAAACAAAACATCAATCATTTCTCAATGTAAAACAGAAAGTTATCAGGTATTTATATTACTTACATGAGTTACAGGGTATTTATATTACTTACATGAGTTACAGGGTATTTATATTACTTACATGAGTTACAGGGTATTTATATTACTTACATGAGTTACAGGGTATTTATATTACTTACATGAGTTACAGGATATTTATATTACTTACATGATTTACAGGATATTTATATTACTTACATGATTTACAGGATATTTATATTACTTCTATAAGTTATAGAATATTTTTACTACTTACATAAGTTACAGAATATACCCAAAAAAAACTAAAGAATATGAAAATATAGTTTCGGCTTAATTCATTATCTGCCCGAGGGCTAGTATTCTACATATATATGACAATGAAATTATACATCACTGAAGGAATTTACAAAAGACACAATTACTAAGAGGGTCTATTAAAATCCAGATATTATGATGACATATTTTGTGAATTGTGATATTTTGGTAGTTATTTGACAATGCACTCCAAAGGCCTTAACATATACCAAACGTTTAATGCCATTACGTTATAAATCAATGTTTTGTCAAATACTAGATAATCAATAATTTCTTTACCAAATGTTACAGACTGAAAGTCAGAAGTCATTTTCATGACAAACAGGTTTATAATTTTCACACTTTAAAAGGCAAAGGAATATAATTCAGATTCAGGTATCACTTTCCTCATCATGAAAACCTTCTTGAATTGAATACTAACGCCTGTTGTACAATCAGTCATATAACCGGATCAGTCTCACCTTGATGTTTTTCTGCCGAAGTCGAGAACTTGTAGAGCTGACACTTCGCTGGTAAAGGACACTAGGTGGCAGCACTGGAACTCGACATTTCCCAGTCTTCCCAAGCAGTCTTAACCCCAGCTATCAATAACAAAGTGTAAAAACCTTCATATTAACAAACAAGGAATACATTAAGTCAGATAACAGTAAACGTAATAAGGTATTTAAAAGTCCGAAAAAACAGGGGCTACAAGGTCATGATGAATTCAGACTCCCCGTATAAACTTATAATTAAATGCTGTTGGCAATCAATGTCCAATTCATTGAAACAAACAGTCAACTTGATGGCAACTTAACACTAGGGCTAAATATATTTACTTATGGATTGTTGTTGAAATAGTAGGCCAAGGTCATTTATAATAAATCTCATGGCCCCTCACCCCACCAAGGTACTGGTCAAATATCATGTCAGATGAGTCTTGAGATAACCTTGACCTTTGTGGTATGGGAAGTCATAAAAGGAAGTAGAGTATCTAATATCAATATTTTAAAAAAAAAACTTGTTTAAAACACTGCAAACTATAAAATTCAAAGTTAAAATACAACCCTCATAATGATGACCTTTGCCCCTACCAAACCTTGACCATATAAGGTAACTGACCTAACAATGTTACTTGATATGCTTTTCAGTCGTGATACACAATGTGACGCCTCAAATATTTCAATCGACAAACATCATAATTAAAATTTTAAGATTCTGTAAGCTTCAAATAAACATTGCTGGAATCCCAAAATTTTCAGCTGAAATATCAGTTTGTATGATGTTTGTGCAGTATTGTTTTAACCCAATGGCAAATTGAGTGATTTTGGGCCAAACCATACATTTATATATTATTGTATAATATCAGACTGCTGTGTTTTTAGTGATATTATTGTTGTTTCCATGCAAAGGTAGACTCTAGGACACGTTAAAATGAAAATAAAAATTGAGGTCCTGACCGGGGCAACCTGTCTCAAAACAATGATGCAAACTTAAACTTAAATAAAAACTTAAAAAAATGCAATTCATAGAGGATATCTAACAGTGTCTTCAGTAAAACCAATTTTATTTCACGAATGTGGCTAATATTTTGATATCTTTGTGCATGAGTGAAAGATATCAAAATATTAGCCACATGATTAAGCCACACTATCATAATTTTAATTATTTTGAGAAAGTCTCGTCATATAAACACCGATAACAATGCGTTGTTGATAAGCCCCTAATCTAAAATTGTGTAGAACAAGAGGCCCATGGGCCTTAACTGTCACATAGTCCTACAGTATTAATTTTTGTTGTTGAAATATGAAGTGGAGATAATGATGTCAATCATCCCTACCAAAATTTGAGTAAAAAAAGTTAGTATAATGTTAAGTTTGTCAGGACTATGAGATGATCATTCCTAGACCGAGCGTTGGTTAAATAGTTTTATTTCAAAATGGCAGCCGTGGCAGACGTGTTGGATTTTCGATCGTCCCGAAAGAAAAAAAACTTTGCTGCGAGTCAATTATTCCTACGAAGTTTCAGTTAAATCGACAGAGTAGAACTTGACATTAAGTTTGAAATAGTTATTTACCATATTGGATTTTTGAGCGACCTGTAAAAAACAATACTTTGTCAGGACCATTTGTCGATAATTCCTACCAAGTTTCAGTTAAATTGGCCCAGCAGAACTTGACTTTAATTTTGAAATATTTTTTCAAAATGGCTGCCGTGATGGCCATATTGGATTTCTGATTGACCCGATAAATAACTACACTTTGTCAGGACCATGGGTCGATCATTCCCACAACGTTTCAGTTCAATTGGCCCAGTAGAACTCGTCTTTAAGTTTTAAATAGTTTTTCAAAATGGCTGCCATGATGGCCATATCAGATTTCTGATCGACCCAATAAATAATAACACTTGGTCAGGGAGTTGTCAGTAACATTCCTGTGAAGTATCAATGAAATCCCTGTGACAGTATTTCAGCTTAAGTTGAAAATGTAAATTGTTAACGGACAACGGACGATGCATGGCAGACGACGCAGGACGCACGACGACGGACGCTCAGGTGACCTCAAAATGCAGAGTTGGTTTGTTCCACTTATCCTGATGATAAAATATCAACACCACCTATGTAAGTTATACTTTTGACCCTGGTTCTCTAATACTTTCTGCCAATCGCTTAGCCTATCTGGGGACTTTGAGCCGCTGACATTGTGTTTCATTCGATATGAGTTTTCTCGATCAAACAGCTAAAATTGCTGACCTGCATATAGCTCATTGAATTGCTTTCATGAAAATTTAAGATAACAGTGGAATTGAACATTGTCCCCTCATGAGAAGTAACAGATGATCAGTCTGGGCAGTAGAATGGGCTGATGTCCCAGACGGATTTCCTCGAGGCCTGCATATCGTTAAGCTAACCAGGCTTTGACCAGATGGGCCACTTGTACTTTTTCCCATGGTTGTTTGTAATCAGTGTCTTGAAATCAGCAAATATTTTGGAGAATGAATAATGTCCAATATTTCACTGGTAAAAATTTAATGAAATGTAGTACCAAATGGGCTGAACTATATGTCAGAAATGCACTTGTTTATCAATATAAAATTCTTCCTGTTTCTTCTGATGTCAAATGCACTCCAAATGATCAAAACGACATGGACATTTTTGCATAAGGCAGTATAAGATAAAGAAAGAGTGAAAATGTTTCCACTTTTTGGACTCGTCCATGTTATATACCCCGTTCTGCTAGCACTCATGCATGTACAAATAGTATAAATGTTGAGAGTATCCCTGCCTGGGACACAAACTTACTCCATGCTAAATTAGGCATGTGAAAAATAATTATTAAAAAACTTCTCATCTCTTGCTCTTACACGATTAAATTATTATAATGAACGAAAGGTTTAACGTAAAAAATAAGAACCCGATCTCTATGAGCCTTATATTCCTACGTACCCAGACCCGACACGACACTATCACCGGGTCACCACATGCACAACTGTCAGTGGTAGGCTACTGCGTGTAGTCGTACGAGGAAAACAAGGCGTGTCCAGCACACGAGAGAAACGACGCTCATGCCAACTTTCAATGCAAGTATAAGTGGTTACTACTTCAAAGGAGGGTAATATAGTCCAGCTGTAGTCGATAATTACCTTTCCTGTAGCTAACGAGCTCCTCATTGTAAACGCCATGTTGTTGTAGATATTAGGTGACAGTGCGCAACAACGTGAGAAATGTCAGCGGAGTAATATATGAGTAAGGCGGAGACCAAATCAGATACGTTATTTCAGAACGATAATGAAATTGATGGATCTTCCACTTGGGATGTACAATAGTATGTAAATAAAAGACGATCATAAAAATATATTTCTTGATTATCATGTCATATTTGTAGATAAAATTTATGTTAACACAATGATTATCTAATAGAATTAAGGGACTATATTTTCAAACAAATCGAAACTGGATAAATCTAAATATAGACTCACATGAGCACGTGTATGCTTAGGAACACATGGATAACGTATATGCAGCTGGATGGAGGGTCAGGTGGTGGCTGGCTAACAAGGAGTGGAGTTCAATGAAGTAGCTTCATCATATTTCATCCAAACGAATAATGAGATTTAGCAATCTCAAAAAATAAAATCATATGGACCCGATACTTAAATTGTTACAGCTGGTGTGTTAGAAAGATAAGATACATTTTATTTATTTAAAATCGGTGGGCATTATAAAAAGCTCTATATAGCGTTTGACCGACATACATGTTACATGATGTACATACAAAGACATTCACATTAAATTTAGACCTAGATACCAGATACAAGAGCATTTATTTAACGTCGCATACCATAAACATAGAAACATTACATAATGTAGCTCGGTAGAGCCAGTTCTGCGACAAATATATATAGGTATATATTCACTTAAGAAATCCGTCGCGGTACTCGCACCCGAAATTCAGGATTTACATCAGGACAATTTAGATGTGGCAAAACAGATATGTGAACTTCAAAAATCAGCCAATAGTTTTAAATCCTCGAGTAAAGATATATATATGAGAAGGTAACTGATTGCAGCATAATAGCGTAAAGATTTGACATCAATCAGTTGAACGGTACTGAAAGTCTAAAAGATAGGCTTAAACATGCTATGCAGACCACAAAGCAATGTGAGAACGACATTCATACGATGGAAAACACAATCAAATCATTACAAAAAGGTTCGGACAACACACAAAGACAAATTAGTGACATTAAACAACAACTGAAGAACAAAGGACATGGCACTGTACAAAAAAGTAATTCTATTCAGGAAACGTATCAGGTTGAGGTGAGAAACCGGTTTATTCCGTTATCGGAATCACTTCCACCAACAGTACAGACCTCCCCGTGTAATGTCTCGGAAAAGACCCATCAACCCCCCAACAACCCACCGAAAAATGAGGAATCCTCTCTGAAAACACATCTGGTAGAAAGTTACTCGTCAATTGTCAAAGACAAAAAGACAAAAGTTATCGACACAACGCCTACATCTGACGGAACGTCATCTATATCTGTACATTTTCCGTCGTCAGTGTGCGTGTCTTCCGCTCCGTCGTTGTCGTCTTCAATGCATCGAAAACAAGATTTCGTTGGATTCACCACCGTAGGGAAACACATGAGAACACGTAGATACTACGTTTATGGTATTGATAAGAAACTCTCATCAGAAAATGGTATGCGCAAGTACTTTGAGGAGAGAAATGTTACTGTCACGTTTTTACGTTACTTTGAGAGACGCTGGAAACGAACTGCATCGGCACAGGTAAACGTAGTTGATGACGAATATAATAACCTACAGGATCCTTCCTTCTGGCCAGAAGGCGTTTCTGTTTGTCAGTGGCTTCCAAAGAACGTCTTCATCCACGAACATGAACAAAGTGCGTGACAAACTTAATATAATGTGTTGGAACATTGAAGGTGTAATGGCCGGCACGCCATACCTTCTAAAATGCCTTGAAGAACATAATATTGATATATGTGGTCTGTCTGAACATTGGGTAAGAGAATATAACTTGTCCTTTTTTGATACTTTTTCTCATTGCGGCTACTCAAGTATAGTAAAACCTATGGCAAGCCAACTAACATTTATTCAAGGAGCAATGTCGATCCTGTATTTCATCGAATTATATAAGATATCTTATATAGCATATGAGATATCTTATATCTTATATAGTATATGAGATATCTTGTATAGTATATGAGATATCTTATATAGTATATGAGATATCTTATATAGTATATGATATATCTTATATAGTATATGAGATATCTTATATAGTATATGATATATCTTATATAGTATATGAGATATCTTATATAGTATATAAGATATCTTATATAGTATATGAGATATCTTGTATAGTATATGAGATATCTTATATAGTATATGAGGTATCTTATATAGTATATGAGATATCTTATAAAGTATATGAGATATCTTATAAAGTATATGAGATATCTTATATAGAAATTAAATGAGATGCTATATAAGATATCTTATATGATATATAAGATATCTTATATCGTATATAAGATATCTCATTTAATTTTCTATATAAGATATCTAATATAATATATAAGATATCTCATATAGCTATATAAGATATCTTATATAATTAAAGTCTCGTTACTAAATAAGATATCTTATATAGGAACGAGATTTTAACAAAATGTCGAAAATGAAGTCTCCCCGTCCGGAATATCTCGAGGATCTACGTAGGGACAGTAGGCTTGTTGTAACAACACGTGTTCCTGTCGCCGCCATTATGTCTGAGCCCACTTCAAGAGTGCGGGAAATGGCAGCCTCTGCTTTGGCCGCTATAAGAGAGACAAGGCGAGCTAGGCCTAGGGAAAATACAGCATCCGTACCATCCCTCTCCGCCATTGCGCCCAATGCAATCCTGAATGTGCTCCGAATGATTCTCGAGGGAGAAATTAGTTTCTGGTTTTTAATGCCACGAAATCTCATTCTATATCAG